TCATAACTGGAAGTCTATGTTTCTGGATTATGTTGACGACATGATTAGTGGTAACTGAGAGTTAATGTGAATTATTGGTCTAAGTGCCGTGCTATGAAACTTACATTTGTAACATCTCAACTTACTGTAAACTTTTGTAGTACATGCTTGTATATTTGCTTGAATATAATACTCATAATAAACATTATTTTAGAAATCTGACTTTTTCATACTTTGCAAGTAATAAGATATAATAAAAAAGGCATCACTTCGTCCATTGAAATACATAATATGTATTGAATAAATACCGAACTCCTATGTAAATTAAAAAAGGGGGAGTCCATGAAACCCAAGAAAACCAAACGCTCGGCTATATCAAGCAACGGAACGACTGGAAAATGACCGTCATATTCCTGACTTGATACAGGCATTTTCAGACGAAAATTATGGGCTAAACCTGGTTTTAAAGCTAACCTCACACTTGCATGACAGTTGTCTATAGCTCCGTTATAACGCCAAATTGTGGGAACAACCAAATCAGACAATAATTGGGATCCTGCAGTCAAAATTGTGTAAAAAACATCATAAATATACAACACAACAGACATAAAAAAAACCGTACGTCAATTAAATATAATAAAGACAACAAAAATCCACCCTGGCCAAAAATAATCATGCTCGATCGCCATGGCTCCACTACTCACTCCGATATATTACTGTAATTGATTGATTGTTGTTTGCTTATCATTCAATATGTTACACATATTTAGGGCGAGAAAAACAAAATTGCAATAAAACCAATATGAAAGTTTTGTAAAGTTGGTCGTGAGGACTTATGGCTCGTTATTTGGACTGCCACTGAAAAAGGAAGATATGTGTATGTTAAGTAGCGGCATTAATTTTGCCTTGTAACAGAACACTAACAGACACTTCAAAGAGATTTGTAACGTGTAGAAAGTTATACTCTACCTATAAGAGGCATCAGACTAAAAGTCCAAATCCTGACAGGACTTAGATTCGTATTTATACAACTCGTACAACAGAACAAAAATCCCTCTTTAGCAAAGGTTTACTCACTGCAGAACGGGAGAAGTCCGGGTGACCATAATTATTTCAATATCTCAGCCTTCTCTTGGGGTTCTAATTTTGGAGAATTAGATTGAAGGAAAAAAGAAATATAATAAAACCAATTGCACGTCATTCGATAAAACTTTTCATACAATAAACAAGAAAAATCAATTGTTGTAGCCATAAGATATATAATATGCAGAAATAGACTTTGCATAATGTGTGAAAGTCACAACAATTAACTTCGAAAAATTAATAAAAAATGTGCATTGCATTAACTTATCTCCTGAATCACCTACGTTTGTTTACATTGTTTCCAATGTGTTATGTAAAATTTAATCCAATAAGCAATTAATTACCCATCCATTGTTTGCAATAATTTGATAAGTTATTTGGATTCTTTGACAACTAAATGTGAGGTATAAATCATACGTTCGCGAAAAATAAGTTCGGTTTTCTTCAGGATTTACAACCGTTGAGTGTGTAATGTATTTTCGAATCGATTGCAAGAAAATGCTCGTTTAACATTAAATTAAAATTTAATAACTCTTTTTGATAACAAGCGATATATCCAATTCTCAATTGTTATGAAACCCGGCTGTAATTAAAAGTAACGCGTTTTTCTGGAATTAACTTCATCAGTAACCCTCAAATCTAAACATATGAGAGCCAGAAATGTATAAATACGTAGAAACGTACGGAGCTTTATCATCAAAAGGGGCCTAAAAAGATAGCTAAATTCACCCAAGATCAACTTTGCGCAAGGGAGCTGAAACCTTGGTTTCTTGACCATTTCTTATTTTATCGGAACTTTCAGAAAAGTAAGTTATAAATCATGTCCGTACCGAAGCACTGACTATTGAGCTGATGATACTCTCAGGGACTATTAGTCAAACAGCAGAGGTATCAACCCAGTGCTAGTAAATGAAAGTAACATTTGATAAACTTAATTTACAAAGAATTAAAAAGCTAGACTTTAAAAAAAATTAAACTATCATGAAAACATGAAACCGAAATTTTACTGTAAAACGTATGACACATACGGTTTCATCATGCATTTATTACTTACCGAACTTTTCGTCCCTATTTGACAATTTATCTCAAACGTTATAAGTATTATTTCGATGGAGAACGTACAGTTTAGTCACTAACACCTGTAAATGTCGTTCAACTGGTCATTGTTTATTATTGATCAAACATTTGTAGTTCCTCTTGTGTTAAAATCTATAAGATTATTTCCCTCAAATTAAAAAAAAAACACATTTTCATTTCCTGTAAGGTTTTTACTGAACAGGAATTATTTTTATAAGCTTTAGATTTAAACGAATTGCTATAACAGATTTTTGCTCAATAGAATTAAAACTTAAATAGCTGTTATTGGCGCCATGCTAACCGAAATCGGCGAGTAATATCAAGAACTCCGAATGAGAATCCATTAGCTAGTTCAAATTCGACGGGTCAACGTCGGTTATCTGTCAATTTCGAAAATGAACATAAAGCACTAAGGAAAATATGTCTCCGATAATTATGTTTATCGCTCACTTATGGCGGACAGATAACGATCAACTACTAATAATTCTTCGGGATACAAAGATACTGCATCGGTCGGTATTTTGTTTATAACATAAACTTAAAGTAAGTGTACTGTACTAGTTTTATAGTTGAATTTTAATATTTCCGTTTCAAATGACCAATAATAAGTTCTATTTGTCTTGTACTTCTTCCCTGTTCATGACAATATCGAATGTTTTATAATGGGTTCTTATTGCTCAGTTAAAAGTTTTTTTGTGGAGTTTTTTGTTACAATATTTTGTCTCTCAATGAAGTTTATATTCCATGTTATTATCTTTTCTTTTCTTTAATGACATATGATTTTCATTATAAAAATAATGAGATGTGGTATGGGTTCATATGAGACAACTATTCGCCAGAGTTCAAATGAAACTGATGTAAGCAATTATAGGCTACCATACGACCGTCAACAATGAGAAAATCCCATACCGTACAATCGGCTATAAAAGGCCCTACATGAAAAATATGAAACAGTTCAATTGAGAAAACTAACGGCCAAATTTATAACAAAATAATTTACGAAAAACAAATATAACAGACATGAACCAACGAAAACCACTGAACTACAGGCTCCTGACTTGGGACGGGGTTAGACATGTTTGCTGGCGCCAACCCTCCCCTAACCTTGGACAGTGGTGTAACAGTACAATATAAGAGCAAACAATAAAAATCAGTTGGATTTAAGGGCTTAACTAGTCAGATCGATACAATACACAAAAATATCTAACAAAAACACAGACCGGACGTGGCAGGGTATTTATACATCCCTCACAACAAAAAATGACACACGATACAGATCTGAGAGTAATCGCTGTCAAAGCCAATAACAACTAATAAAAAAATAATGTCTCTAAGACTAAAATTGTCTACTTTTATGTGCCTTCGATGACTTTTTATAGAGATTCTGATAATTATGAAATAAAAAGACTTCCCAACATAACTTACATTTTCATTTAATATAATGTCGAAATCTATTCAAATTGCAGTAGTTTTAAGCGAGACATAATCATTTATGATGAGACAAAATATCCTAGGTGGGACATCCCGGATGACAAATTATATGATGTATCTGTTGATTGTCTTTTATTTTTAAAGAATTGAACATATGTAAAAGCAAGTTAAAACAACATAAAAATCGTGTTTTGGCGTATTCGATCCAATTTAACGATATTTTAAAAATGCATGTATTCCAAATGACTCTGCATGTGGCAAATGTCTGTAAAAAGTAAGGGTGTCGTAAAATATCTTTTCTTTCGATATTATAATGTTAAACCATAACGTTCTGTACTAATGTGTGTTCATTCACAAATAATATTAATTCAATGAACATCTATTCCTATGTAATTTTTTACAATATTTGATTACTACGTCAAAACTAATTATAAAAGAAATTCAAGTGTTTACGTATTTCAATTTTGAATCACTGATTGTTTAAGCCAGCACTTTGTCATTGGCTGGTGTGTTATCCTATTTCACACATTTAATCCTCTGTGAAATAAATTATTATTTGATAAAATTAATTTCCAACTAATAGATTATATCAAAAGCAAAATATATTAATAAATATTTCACAGTTGAAGTCATTATCTTAATAATAACTCCATTTACGTTTGATTAAGTTTGTCCAGCATAGCGAAACTATTGACTGAATTTTTGTGTTAAGTTAATTTGCCCGAGTTATTATTTTTTTTAAAGTTTGTACGAATGGTAATTAACATATTTTTGTTTAGAATGACACTTGTAGTATAGGTAATTGAAAGTATTTGTTCTTTGTGTGTTGATTTTCCTTGGTTACTTTCTAATCTGCCCAACTAATATTAAGAGTAAGATAAAATCTGAAGAAATAAGTTTCATACCAACTAAAGTACAAGGTAGGCATTTTAAAACTTTTTACTAGATGAGAAAAATAAAAGAAATGAAATAATTGATTTTGTAAAAACGAAAATTATTGAAAATAGAAATATGCAAGTTTTTTATTACTAAAATAGTAGGTATTTGTCGTATGCACCAGCATAATGTTCATTAACAGAGTAAGCAAACTTTTATACAAGTAGTTTATAGCTTCTTCAAATGTATTGTATATCTAATCTTTGGCGATTATGCTGTAAAAAAAATATATTTTGTGGTATCGAATGACTGAAAGAAAGAAAAATGCAGACAAAGATGAGAGCTGGGACTATATATTCGTCTTACCTTTAGAGAAAAAACTTACTCTTCACTACTGCATATGCATACATAATTCTTATTGAATTAACATTAAAAAAAATGCATTTATGATTTGATTAATATGTATTCAAATCATCCAGAAACGTGTCACTTTTCGATTGGAATAAAGTAATTTGATAGTGTTTGCACTTTACCATTTTTAATGTCTTCGATTTCTTCTATCCTGTATATGTCCTGTAAGTCTTTTGTTTTTGGTTGTGGTGGGGGGAGGGGGTAATTATAATTACATCTTGGCTGTATTTTTTTGTATGTGAACCATTCTTATCATAGTTCCGTTCTACCTTTTTTTAATTTAGAAAATGTCATCTAAAGATCCAGCTATGATTGCTGCAATCGACTTTGGTACTGTGTATTCTGGGTACGCCTTTTCTATCATTGATTCTTCCCCAAAAAGGCCATTTACTATTAATGTGAATCAAGCGTGGAATGCTGGAGGACACAACTTGCTTTCCATTAAAACCCCGACGACTCTTTTACTTGACGCTAGCAAACAGCTTGTGGCTTTTGGGTACCAGGCTGAAAATAGATATACGGAATTAGAAATGGATGGTAAAATTGACGGCTATTATTACTTTCATAGATTTAAAATTAAATTGCTTGAAAAAGAGGTAAGTTTCATCTGCTATTCTATTATAATTAAGATTGCACAAAATCCGATTGTTTCATTCGTAAATAAGTGAGATACTGTATTTCATTTTTTTTTTGTAAAATTGCAAAAAAAAAAAGACTAAGATAATATGTTTCAGATAAGTTCATTTATCAGACAGTGCTATAGTAGCGCTGGGTTGTTTCCACTGCTGGTTGACTGTTAGTCCCCGAGGTTATCATTAGCTCAGTAGTCAATAACTCGGCACTAACATGATTTATTGCATATTATTCTTGAATAAAAGCTCCGTTGATAAATTAAGAAACTACTGAGAAACTATAAAGTTCCAACTCCTTCAGGCAAAGTTGACTTTAGATGTATTTGACAATTCTTTTTATATAGATATAAGAAGATGTGGTATGAGTGCCAATGAGACAACTCTCCATCCAAGTCAAAATTTATAAAAGTAAACCAATATAGGTCAAAGTACGGTCTTCAACACGGAGCCTTGGCTCACACCGAACAGCAAGCTATAAAGAGCCCCAAAATGACTAGTGTAAAACCATTCAAACGGGAAAACCAACGGTCTATATATAAAAAAACGAGACGTCCCTTTTGTTTATGTAGCTCCTCATGTCATATAGCTCTTCACGTGTTGTTTACATTGTTGTTGGCATTCAAAAGTTTGTGTTTGAGCGTTCCTGATGTTGGTCAATCCAGAAAAGCTCTTCGGACGCACGAGGGATACAAATACAGAGGACATTGTATACCGAGCTCTTTACAAGTACTTATATCAACAATATCATTATTTTTTTTTTGTTGTCAATAAATCTGTTGAACCAAGAGGGAAAAGTTTAAAAAGTTAAACTCGTTTGTATTTTGATAATATTTTGAATATCATGTTTGGTGTTTTCCAGAATTTGTCATCTGATACTGAACTAGCAGACATTAAAGGAAAACCAGTTCCAGCAAAAGAAGTATTCGCTTTATCAATACGATTTTTAAAACAGCATTTGATTAACTCTTTATCGAGACAAGGTGTTGATGTGGCTGACTTCAGAATCCAATGGGTTCTAACCGTGCCCTCTATTTGGTCAGATGGTGCAAAGCAATTCATGCGGCAATGTGCAGTGAAGGTAAATTAAGTCATCATAGATATTAGGCTTAAAATTGTTGCGCCAGATGCACGTTTCGTCTACCAAAGACTCATCTGTGACGCTCGAATCAAAAAAGTTTAAAATGACAAATAATATACGAAGTTGAAGAGCCCATACAGTTGCTCCTTATCAATTTTAACTGCTTCTTGTTATCTCTGAATTACATACCAAGTGCAAGACTTTGCAGTATCTAAATACAGTTTTTGCCACCCGTATTCAAATAAAAATGAATGTTGTATTCTACTAAAACATTTAAAGTAAGCATGAAGATTCAACATGCCAAAAAATGTCCATTTATTATGTAATTTATCTTTAATTCAAAGTGTCTCAATTTGTAAGAGAAGTAAAGTCGGGTTAGATAACAAAAGCATATCCAACACTATTCTAATGTATTTAGGCAGGTATACCAAATGACAGTCTGGTGATTTCCCTCGAATCAGAAGCAGCATCAATATTCTGCCATCATATTTCATCAAACCTGTCAGTCGGTGCTAATACAGGTGTTTTGTCATCGAAGAAAGGAATACAATATATGGTAGTCGACATGGGAGGTACGATTTGCTATATATATATACAGTAAAAATGTGCACAGGAAATGTCGGGCAAAAGGTGAAAGAAAAAAGTTATTGATTGTTTTAAATGTCACAAGAAAATTATCGTAACAGAGAAAAACAATCAATATGTTTTTTTTTTCTATTTTTTCCTTTTGAATGGCTCTTATAATTTAAATCTCCAGAGTGATTATTGGCAAAATATAAGAACATCGGTGTGACAAAAAAAAAACAAAAACATAAAAGGGAAAGAGTCAGGTGTTCATTGTCAAAATTTGTCTTTGTTTGTTACAAGTAAAACAGGCTTACACGTATTTAAAATTTAATTTATTTTTTTGTTGGTAAACATTACTCTATGACATTGCTTGTTTAATCGCAGGTGGAACCAGTGATATAACAGCTTTAGAAAACATCGGCAAAAACCAATTAAAAGAAATTTGCAGGGCAAGTGGTGCTGATTGTGGCGGTATTGCCGTGGACAATGCATTCTATACAATTTTTATGCACATCGTCGGACAAGCTGTTATTGATGATTTGACTAATTCAAGCCCTTCAGCTTACTTGGATTTGTTCAGAGAATTCGAATGCGTAAAGCGATCTTTAACTCCCGAACAAACAGGAAAAATTACCATGTCGATTCCTTTTCTCACCTTGACGCAAGTTTGTGAGAAACATCACAATAAAGATTTTGTAAGCTTATTAAAAGCGTCTAATTATAACCATCAAATGACGATTGTCAACGACAAATTACGAATTGAAATTGATTTATTAAAACTGTTGTTCAAACAAACTACAGACAAAATTGTCAATCTGATAAAAGATAACTTGCACCAGGTACAAAATAAACGAGCGGTCAATGTCATTTTAGTTGGAGGGTTCTCCGAAAGTCTCATTGTGCAACATGCAATAAAGTCTTCTATTCCATCTCATAATATCATAGTTCCAAACGAAGCTACTCTCGCAGTTTTGAAAGGAGCAGTCATTTTCGGAACTGATCCAAATGTTATCGTATCTCGTGTTGTACGTTATACATATGGATTTCAAGTTTCCAACGATTTTGATCCGAAATTACACGAATTCCTTCGACAAGTTGAAGTTGACGGTTTACAACTTTGCGAGAAAGTATTTGAAAAGTTTATGGTGATCAATTCAACAGTAAGTCTTGGACAGAAAATTAAGGAAACTTTTACGACCACCAAAAAATTCCAAGAGCTTCACTATCTACCTCTCTTCACTTCAACGAAGAAAGAACCAGGGTATACTGATGACAAAACATGTAAACATGCTGGGAATGTGGTCGTTAGAATTCCGAACCCAACTGAAAAATATCGTGATATAGATGTCACTATTTGTTTCGGACATACTGAACTTCAAATAGAGGCTGTTGACGTTGAATCGGGTAATATGTGTCAAACGACGTTTGAATATGTATGAATTCAAAGTGCAAAATATTTTACATTGTATCAGGTAACTGACATCCTTTTTTAAGATATCATAATGAATATCATGTTTAACTGTGTTTTTCTTATGTCAACTTTATATTCATTATACCTCCGCTCCAAAGGAAGGGATACACTGTTTTCCGTCCGTGTTACCGTCCGTTCCATCAAGTTTTCGTCGCATTCTTCTGAGAACTACAAATCAGAGTTTCTTCTATTTTTATATCAAGCTCTATGTTAGCATGTTGTACTGTGTGGTGTATTTTCAGATTCATCGCAAATCAACTTCCTGTTCATCGAATACTTGTGTATTCTTTCACATAATGGACTTGTATGAAATTTTCGTCGCCACTACAGATTTAGGCTTTCTGTAATTCGGAACAAGCTTCATGTAAGAGCTATATCATGTGATACATTTTTTCATCCCTAATTACTCATTAACTTTCTGATTACCGAAAAATTATAGCGGGAGTGAGTACTAGCATTAAACTCACCATATCTACCTGGCTTAAAATTGTGTACGCCAGACGCGCGTTTTGTCTACAAAACTTAAAGACTGATCAGTGACGCTCGAATCAAACAAGTTAAAAAGGCCAAATAAAGTACGAAGTTAAAGAGCACTGATGACCCAAAATTCCAAAAGGTTTTGCCAAATACAGCTAAGGTAATTCTAATAAAATCCTTAGAATTTCAATTAATTCAAAGTTTTGTAAACAGTTAATTTATGATTCTGACCATGTCAATAATAATTCATGTCAACATTTTTAAAAATAGTATATGTTTACAGTAGACGATCTGTTTTTCTACCAGCTAAGCAATATCACCGCGCTGAAGTATGTGGTGTTTCCTATTCTATGAGAACGACCAACCACCGGTTGAATCACGTTCCGTCATCGGTCACGGTCAACAATTAGTTAAACTAGTTTAATACCCTTCATGTTTGTTATGTTGACTCCTTTATTATTGTGGATAAAACGAATAATTATGAATAAGGGGCTGGGTTCTCATCTTTTATTTGTAGGTAATATATCAAAACCTAGTAAAGGAACAACAGAAATTAATGTAGAAAGTGAAAATTGGAAAAAGAATATTATCATTATGTATTGTAATACCAAGCCCAAAAGTAAAAACAATCATTCAAACCAATACATATCGTAATTATGTAAACCTACGATCTTTCTACGAAACAATTTACAATAGTTTTTTACAGTTCAACGATTTTAAAATTTTGACTACTGATCGGTATAAACGGTTTAAAAAACAAATCAGCAATTACTGTTTCAATATGAATAGGTAAGGAAGTTTATTATTTTCATACGATTTGCATTTACTTTCAATATAACTAAGTCTACTTTGGTATCAACATGATATGTGTGCTTATATCATGAACAGTATTACTTTCGAAATATCATAATTATTAGTTTCAATAACATTTTTTTCAACTGACATTTTATGAAAAGGAAACTATATCCATCATTTGACGTCCGTCATCGTCTGTAAAAATTTCACATTTTCACCTTCTTCTTGTTGATCAAGAAGCAAGCATAGCGGCATGCGGAATTATGGTACACAGTTTTCTCATTGTTTACATAGAAATGACATGGAACTACTCGGCTGATGTGAACCAAACTTGGCATGAATAATGTATGCAAGGTCGCCTTATACAAGTGATTGGTCAAGGTCAAATGAAACAATATGACCATCCGTTGCAATCTTTGATACTGATAGGCCAATTTTCAAAAATATGGTCTTGCAACTTCAAGTCCTGCGAACCTTGATGAAACTTGACGATATTTATGATTTGTAAACTCTCTACAATTATCCTCATTCAAGGTTGTTCGGGTTGCAAACATGGTTTAGTTTGTGGCACATAATTTCTCATTGAAACCCACAGGCACTTGTCTCCGAAAAAAAACACCTATATACTTTAATGTAAGATTATAGTAAAGTATAGAGGTAAACAAATTTCAAGACAAATATGCCTGTGTTGAAACCCTATGGAAAATCACTTTTTTAACTAACCTGCAAATACTAGGCCATGAAAAATAAAACCGTGGATGGAATGTTGGTTCATTTAATTATCACCATGAAACAGCTTCCTATTTCAGTTGCATGTGATAATTCATTTTTAAAGTTTTCTATAGACTTAAAAGTTATGTTTGGTCACGTGTTGTGTTTATTTTCCAACTTTTATTTCTCAAATACAAAACGAACTAGCTATAGTCAAAAGGGAAGTAACTTAGTTTTTCCTACCTTGAAAAAAATACTAATTGGTCGGATTCGGTATTATTTGTACAAAGTATCATACATTAATTTTGTTATATATATAATGATATAAATTCAATGGTTAATAAAGGTCTAGGCTGTGATAACCAATGTTTGCAAAATACTGTTTTCTTACATACACCTTTTTTAAACTAATAACACGCTACAACTCTTCTTTTCAGCTATAATAATCTGACTTAATTTTGCAATTTTACTACACTATTATTAATACTAATATATAGTAGAGTGGTCTTAGTAGATCTTAATTGACTAGGATTGTCAGTTTTCCTACCGAAGGTCGGTGGTTCTTTCCGGGCACTCCGGCTTCCTTCACCATTAACAAAAACTAACCGCCACAAAATAGCCAATAGTGCTGAAAATGGCGTTAAACATCAATCAATCAATCAATCAAGTTATGATTTATTCGAAACACTTAGATTTTTCTATCCTCAGGTCCAAGAATAAACGGCGTTAGTCAGAGTTTGCACAACTTTTTGTATTTTTTGTATTTCGATGCTCTTTTGCTTCGCTTGTGATTTGGCCTTCGACCTTTTTTAATCGAGTGCCACTGACAAATAATTTTATGTAGACTAAACGCGAGGTTGGCGTACTAAATAATAAGACTAGTATCTGATGAGCTTTTACATCAATTTTGAAATTGTTTCTTTCTACCTTTATAATCCAGTGAAAATGATAGATGTTAATGCATATGCAAAACAAAACCAACTTATATTACAAAAATCAAGCAATACTTTATTCTATGTCTAACTACTGCATAAACGTCAGGTTAACGAAAGTTCAAACATGTATGTGTAGGCTGTAAGTTCCATTAAAAAAGTACTAGTATAACAAAAATACCGAACTTCAAGGTAAATTAAAATAAAATCCATAAAAACTGACAAAATCACAAGTTAGACTTTATCAACCATCGGAACGAATCGAAAACAACTGTCGTATTCCTGACTTCCTACGGGCATTTTGGCAGTTGTTTATAGTTCCGTTATATTGACAAAATTGGATAAGCAATCTTAACAGACAAATTAGGTTAATGTGACAATAATTGATATCCAGCAGCCAAAACTTAGTAAACATCTAACATCACAGACATACAACACAACTGACTGAAAACTTCAAACAAATATACATACAAATAAACATTAAAAAAAGACGCCAACAAAAAAGTGTGTGTGTAGTTGATTGTAAATTTGACAAAAACGCCAAAAAAGGTTTTGTAGTTGATAGTACATACAGTACATAGTATACACTCTCTCGAAAAGGTACAAATTACTTAAAAATAAAGACTAGGGAAAACAAAATAAAAACAAAACTTTGCAAACGAGCTCATACGTGAAACTCTCGCGAATTTCACATGAATTTAGATTCACATACGTCTCGCGTGAAATTCATGTGAACTTTTCAAAACAAATTGGCCTTTTCATGATTTCGATTAAATTTTATAATTTAGATAATATTTGGTAACTTTATTTTTGAAAATTCATGTGAATTTCACGTGATAAATTCATGTGATTTGCACGTGAAATTCACATGAAATTCACATAAAACTATGAAATCAGTTCATGTGATTTCACGTATAAGCTCGTTTGATGTAACATTCAAGTGAAATCACGTGAAAGAAATTTCCCTGTGTAGAATCTATAACTCGAGACCATCTTGTATTATTTGTAAAATAGACACTGAATATTTATCTATACTTGGTATTGGTAGTACTTTCCAATGAACTTTTTGAGAAAAAGGACGAGGCGCTCTATGACAAAATCCTGGCTCATCAATCTTTCGCTCAGACACCGATGTATATAGAAAAGGGTACAAATGAAATAGATACAAAATAAAGTAAGGATTCTATCAGTGAGGACTTCAATGCATAGCTCATTATTTCTACTTTGATTATTAAAACATTATTTTGACTAAATAGCTTTTATGCATGTATTGAAATTGTTTTGGCTTTAAGCAACATTTGCCACATGAAAGTACCATAAAATGTTTCAGTGATTTTTTTTTTTATATATATATTCATGCATCGGTCTATACAACTTTTGTTAGTTCAGTGGTGTGTATAGTTTTCTAGATGAAAAGAGAATAAAATTGAGAATGGAAATGGGGAATGTGTCTAAGAGACAACAACCCGACCAAACAGCAGAAAACAGCCCAAGGCCACCAATGGTCTTCAACACAGCGAGAAAATCGTGCACCCGTTTACGTATGTTTTAAAGCCACTAAAATGGATGGAACGAGGCGCTGGATATCCACAAACGAGACAGCAATCAAACTATACAACAACCAAAAGACACCTACAGGTCAATATACAGTCTTAACTATAGACGATAATTATAGATTATCGTTGATCATCTCAACGAGATTGATTTTCTCGCTTGAGCCGGTACGGCGAAAGTGAGAAAAGCAATTAAGTTGAGATGACCAATGATAATCTGTTTATCGCTATTTTACCTATGACGAAGTTGTCAATGTTATGTCAATTTCATTAGCAACGCCACGTGCCCACTTAGTTTCTAGCGATAATTTTCATATCACTCGACTCCACCGAGAAAGGAAATTATCAGTGAGCAAGATCAAAGGAAAATTTCGCAAAATAGCGATAAACAATATATCAGGCTCTAAATCACACAGAGTCTAAAATCAACAGATGTCAAATATCTCTTAAGACATGATCGATATTAGAAAACCTCTTATTAAGGACATGGACATGGACATGAATAAAACTAGTTTTATTTTTTTTTAGATCTCATCCGTCCCCCTTTTTAAATCTGACACGACTTTGAGCAATGAATAGA